CTGTAAATTACTATGTAGATGTGACTGGCTTTGAACTCATAGAGATCTACTTGCCACTGCACCTAAGGTTTCCACGATCCTCCCAAAACTGTACCAACTACTGGGGATCAAGTATCCAATTATTTGGAACCTATGGAGGACATTCTCATTCAATCCACCACATATGCTATATAGAGAAATAGAAAGTCATATTAACCAAGTGTAAAAATGCAGCACCAACTCTATCAATTCCAACTCTATATTGGAAACCAAGGAAATCCCAACTTTTTGTAAATGTTTTATTTAATTTTTTTGCATTTCATACAGAACAACTTAAGCATCTTTGTACCCCTTTCCCAATTTGTGCCCTCCTATAGCCTCCCCCACTGGAATTCATGAGTTCTGTTATTTGTGGTAAGGCCTGTCATATCAATTTTGTCTCCCCAGGAAACCTGCAGTTTACGTTCATCCACTGAGGTGTAGTCAGGCTATCTAGAGTCCCTCCCTTTAAGAAGATCAGCTATTCCTCACATAGCAGTAATCAGTTGCCAATAATTCTTTGACAGAGATTGGGACCTGCTGCCCATTTCCACAATTCTGTGCTGGGTTTTAGCAAACAATATTTGGTGCAGTAGTGGCACTATTATCATGAGGGTAATCAACAGCTACCTAATTGGACTTAAAGTCCAACTAATGGGAGTAAACTCATGTGTGGTACTGTAAACTTAGCCAAATACACGTAGCTGGAGAGGTCATAAATCTTAGAGAAAATCCCAAGGCTGTCACATTCCTAGAACAATGTAATTTCTTACTATGTGCAAAACATGAATCCTTATATTAACAAACAAGTAAACAAGTCACCAATCACCAAAGAAACTTCTTTTGGAACTAATGGAGATTATTACAGATTTCTACAACTGTCATACACAGAGATTGTCTATGAATTTCCCAGGCCTACATGGCACATCTACAATGCAATCTCTACAACTCAGGCTCACGGATCATAACAAGGCTTAAAGAGAACACTAATGCATCTCTCAATTCTTGTCAATGAAGCTTCCTCATGCAAAGAGGGCAATGGACACAAAAGGTCACAAATGGTCAAAGCATAGGGAATCAGAGACTGCAGATTGTAGGTTCTTGGACAGGCCTTCCATATTAAACTCCTCCCATCCAGGTCTCAGAGACTATTGCAGAAGAGGGGGCAGAGATACATGACCATATAGAAATAGTGTCCTACAATTTCCTGGGACCTTGCTCATATGAACCTGGATCAATGGTATGCACAGTACCCACGCAAACTCCAGCAGACAAAAATTCCAACTTTTATAAACAAGATAAAAAACATATATCAAGTGTATAGACATGAGAAAGTGTTTTAGACTAAACCATTAATCCAACAAAATTCATCAAATATGCTCCTTCCAAGTCACTCCAAGATTGTTGATCCCACAGTTATTAGAACTTTCACTATGTGTTACTTCAAAATTGAGTGAACCAGTGCTATATCTTTTTTTTTACTTGAGTTTTTTAAAATAATGTTAAAAAGTTGCCATGTGAGTTAGAACTTTATATCCTCAACTCTTCAGCCTACACACCTGTACTTTTGTCTCTGCAGTTGATACTCAGCATGTATCCCAGACTGATGGTGAAAAGATCTTGCCAGAGTCTCTTTGTATCCCATGGGGAGATATAAGATAAGACTTTTCAGATACAGGAAAAAAAGATGTGAGGCTGTTATGAGAATTAATTTCAAAGACAAATCTGATATTTATTAAGATAAGTGAGGACACTAAAAATATTCCCATGGGAGGATAAGGAAAGTATTTACAGACTGCGGGGATGGTGGAGTGGGTGAAATTGCTGGCTGCACAGTCCTGACAGTATAGAGTCTGGTTCTCCAAAACCCATGTGGAATCCTGAGGGAGAGTCACAGGTGTGTAATCTCAGCATCCTATGGGGTGACAGGAGAACATTCACGCTCTTGTGGGCCAGAAAGCTTGGCATAGGCAATAGCAAAAGCAGTGTCTCAAATTAAGAAAAAAATCAGTGGAAAAGAGAAAATCAATGCCCAAAGGATGTCCTCTGACATTCACATGGGTTCAATGGCATGAGCACCTGCACACACATGCAAGTTTACACACATACATACACATAGTTAAATTAAAAAAAATCTTAATATACCTAAGGATGGCCTTCCACTTATATCTCATAATAATGAACAATATATTATTGAGCAAAATTTTAGATAGAAAATAATAATAAAATTAGAACCTATATTTGAAATGCTTTTTCTCACTCAGTATTTTCACTATAATAAGTCAAAAAGAAAATAAAATAAAAACCAATAGAATAATATTTCAGAAAGTGTGATAAGGTATTTCATAGTACATCCTTGCATATAGAATGTTCCAGTAACTGAGGTGGTGAAATCTCAAGATTGTCATTCAAGGTTATGTCTTGATTACTTAGAATACTTAAGATCATTGCTACACATGTAAAAACTCATGATTTAAATATTATGATGTTAGAATATAAACAATGATCTGAAAAACTGATATAAAATGAGGCAGAAAACCATTTGTCAATGTAAAAGATGAAATTATGATAATAATAAATCCTTTTATAAAATGAAATGTAAAATATATCATAAAATTAAATGAAAAAATGGAAAATGTGCAAATGTCAGGAATATGTTAGTACCTTGAAGTTTCATAGACTTGAAAAGACCCTGGAAAAGTAAAATTTCATCATTGAATAAATTGCCACAGTTTTCAGTGCTCTGCACACTCTAAGGTGTCTCTACTATTCAGACTCCTAGAAGACAAGAGACTCAATGAATATTTGTTGTATTAAATAATAACTCTTATGAAATGTAATAGAGAAACCCAAGCCTACATTGCTCATGGTCACATACTCAGTACTTTGAAAACTTATATGAGCAAATTGGCAAAAGAGTTCAACCTTTTGAAAACTTTGGTCTAACAATTCCATTCCTTAGACTTCTGAAGAGAATGATGCCCCTGAATATTTTTTTGTACTTCTATTTTGTCCTAGGTGCCTGAAACTCACTGTGTAATCAGAGTAAAGGAAAATTGAAAGCAAGTGGTACAAGTTAAATAGTTGAAGGTTAATAGCATTTTCATATTAATCTCATTGTATTCTTTGCATCCAAGATAACTATAAATGTTAAATTATAATGATGTGCACAAAATGGCATACGTGTTTGTGCTAATACACATTATTTATATATGGAAAGTAAGAAATTTGAGTAACCTTTGGAAAGTAATGATAAATATTATATTTTGACTCACATGATGCATTAAGTTGTCAGCATATATAACCATTCTGTCCTTATTATTATTGTAATATTGCCCATAAACATGTTTTCAAAATCTATATGAGAATTGTTGGTAATCTATGTATGTGCCAGTGTATGAACTGGGAGAGTTACAAAGTGCTGAGTTTATAGTACCAGATCATAATAATTTATCTTCTATTAACCTGAAAGTAAAAAAAAAAATCAATAACATAGGGAAAAATCACATCAAGTTTTATTATACAATGGTTTGATAATATGGTTTATCTAAATGATACATTGCTATTGTTCTTAACTTTACATATTAAAGGCTTTCAAACTACTAAAAATGTTTCTTGTGTTTAATGTTTCCAGCCATTAAGAGGAAAATTAGAATGATCTTTCCCAAAGAATTCTCCATCCAGCAATAATTTGCTTACATCTGTCTTCATGGCCTCATTCCTCAGACTGTAGATAAGAGGATTGAGTGTTGGGGGTACTAATGTGTAAAAAACAGAAAGCATGAGGTCTACAGCAGTTGCCGAGTCTGAAGTTGGCTTGAGAACTGCACAAGCTCCTGAGAACAAATAAAATGAAACAACACAGAGGTGGGGCAGGCAGGTGGAAAAGACCTTAGACCGACCTTCATCAGAGGGCATCCTGAAGACTGTGGAGAATATCTGACCATAGGACAGAGTGATGGCAATGAAGCACACGAAGGCCACAGCACCAATGAAGGCAACTGCTCCAATCACTAAAAGATAATCACTGGGGCAAGCGAGTTTGAGCAATTGGGGGACATCACAGAAAAACTGGTGGATTATTTTGGCCTTGCAAAATCTGATAGAGAATGTGGTTGCTGTGTACAAGCTCCCTGGGATGCCTCCACTTACCCACACAGCCGTCACAACCCACCTGCACTTTTGGGGGCTCATAATGACATCATAGTGCAGTGGGAAGCAGATGGCCATATAGCGGTCATAGGACATCACTGTGAGAATGGCCACCTCAGCCCAGGCCAAGGACATGAAGAAGAAAACCTGCAGCACACACTGTGCATAGGAAATGTATCCACTGTCAGTCAGGGAACTGTGGATAGACTGCGAAACAGTGACAGACAGGGAGGAGAAGTCCAGAAAGGAAAGGTGCTTCAGGAAGTAATACATTGGAGATTGGAGCTGTGGGTCCAGCATTGTGATGGTGATGATGATGAAATTACCTGCCAAGCCCAACAAGTACAACACCAAGAAGAGCAAAGCGTGTAGGATCTGCAGCTCCCGGTTGTCAGAGAACCCCAGGAGGAGGAAACCACTCACTCTGGTTATGTTTGTCATCATCATTTTGATAATGGGAATTTTGCATGAAACAGAAACAAAAGAAATGCAGTAGAAAAATATTCTAAGAATTTGTGCCTTTATCCAGCACTGCTTATTTCAATACTCAATGTTAAGTGTTTGTTGTTTATTGTTTCTATCTGTGGTGGTG